GCAAAAGGAAATAAAGTATGGTATATATTCAAGCGTTGTTTGAAAAAAATGTTAACTTTTAAATATCCTTAATGGAAATAAGATATATATGTATAGTAAATGTTTACTTATACCTGAAGGTAGGTAATATGGATGGTATTATAAAATAGAGGTATACACAATATTTTTTCATTAGAAAGCATGTGTCTAAAATATAATAGTAAAAGAAAAACAATTATATACCTCTTTTAGATCCATGGCAAAAGTAATTAAAGTTTGGAATATATTCAAGGTTATTTGAAAAAAATGTTATTAAATATCCTTAATGGAAATAAGATATAGATTTACAAAATATGTTTACTTATACTTGAAGGTAGGTAATATGGATGGTATTATAAAATAGAGGTATACACAATATTTAGTATATATTTTTTTCATTACAAAGCATATGTTCTTGCAAAAGCGTGGTAACAATCATAATTTTTGTATTTTTTTAAATATAATTAAAAGAAGAAAAAAAATTAAACCAATGAGATAAGAGCTTATAAATAAACAAATTTATGTTAATTAATTTATCAAAATATATTTTCATATATAAGAAGAATTGTAATAGAAATTAGATAGAAGGGGGCTGAGTGGAAAGAACGTTTGCCTATCGGACGTTAAGTCAGTGGTTCGAATCTCATTGATATAAAAAACATTTTAAAATAATATTTTCTTTTTTTTTAAAAAAAAAATTTAACATTAGAGGTTTATAATCTCCTTCGATTTAACATTACGATGATAGGAAAGTTGATACCAAAAATAAAAATTAACTTTAAGGTTAAACGAAAACGTTCATGTCTTGATTACGGTGATTATATATATTAGAATACTTAATTTCATATTATAGAATATGCAAATGAGGATATTTTGAAGATTTTTTTAAAATCTTTCATAGTTTTTTTACTATAATCTTTTTTTAATGTTAATTTAATATATTTTTACTTTATGCTTTATTATTTTATATTTAATGGAGATAGGAAACTACAAATTATGTTATTATATTTTTGTTTCAATCGTCATACCCTTCTTTATTCTATCTATCATCTTTTTTTTATATTTAGATTAAACTTTGTTTTTTATCTTCTTCAATGGTGTTCAAACTTTTTATTTTACAAATAAAAATATATAATGATCAGTATATCACACCATATTATGGCTGTTATTAAACCATAAGAAATTTAATTTTACAAATTGGCCCATATATGTATTAACTACCTACCAAGTCTTAGCCCATATAATGTCATCATCCATATAGACATACAAAATAAAAGGCAGGATATAAAAATATATAAAGAACAGTATATCACATCTTAATAAATGATATGGGTGTTAAATTGTTAACTTCACCCAATATAATATTATTTTTCAATTCTAAATCATACACATGAGAATTTTTTTGAACACAATAATTAATAACAAATTAAAATATTTCAAATGATTGATATTTGTAGAAAAGAAAATTTCGATCAATATAAACATTTCAATGTTAGCCTAAGCATTAGAGGTGGGGGCGGGCCTAATTTTTTATTCACGGCCCGCCCGTTCACGGTGGCAATAAAAAATATTCACGCCCATTCACTCTTACCACTAAAAAATTTTCGACCCGACCCGTCCGCTCACGAATGGCAATATTTTGATTCACGCCCGTCACGCCCGAAAATTCAAGGTGTTTTTAAATTTTTCAAAACTTTAATGCTATATTTTTTTACACTTTTTCGAATTTATTTCTTTAATTCCGTAATTCATAATAACAAAAAATAAATACATATTATAAATCCAAATTTTTACTTAGAAAAAGAAGAATGTCTATTTTTTTTTTATTTCAAGTGTGTACGCCTTTCCTTTAATAGGCCATTGGCTACAGAAAATAACCTTTCACTAGAAGCCGAATTTGCCAGGGACATAATTTTGCTCTCTAATTTTCTAAAAAAGGAAATAAATTTTCCTGCTTCCAAAACTTCAAAATTTTGCAATTGTTATTTGTTTTATGGAATGAATCTTTTAAATTCACACAGCTTTGATCGGTAAAAATATTTTTCATTTAGAATATATGGTTTTTATGAATGTAGGATGAATTAGGAAAGTTATAAATGACAGTTGGCATTGACTTATGCATATCATCTAATTTTATATCATTTCACATTTTTAAGATTGTTTTGTAAATTCCTTTTCTTCATCTATTAAAAACTTACTTTGATTGTTTTGTAAATATCTTCCTTTTCTTCGTCTATTAAAAATTTACTTTTGAAATTAGGGTCTAGAATTAAGCCTACGTTAAGTGCTTGAGAAAAATTTTTAAAGTTTAAGTAAAAAATCTCACGATAAAATACCTAAACATAAAAAGAACGTGACACCAGATGTTGTTTATAAAATGCCGGAATATTTTTAATATGTATTATAATATAACTATAAAATTGCAAATTATTTATAAAAAAAAATTTAAATTTCCGTGATTCACGAAAATTCCTGTTCACGCCCGATCACATCTGGGAAAAAATTTGGGTAGGCCCGTCACGCCTAATAATTTAAAATTTATTCACACTCACGCCGTGACCCACAGTGACACGATGGGTCACGCGTAATTTCACGGCCCGCGCACACCTTTACTCTGCATTAATAGGATTGGACAGGAGAGTAATTCAATTTATGGAGTTAAAATATATAATTTATAATAAAGGGTGTGGTAAAATTTATCAAATTATATTAGATTATTTTTATAAATATGAACAAGAAATCATAAATTTGAATTATTTAACTAACATAAAACGATTGATATGTAAAACTAAATTAATTGTAAAATTGCGTAATAAGAAAAAACAACGCTCCACTGTTAAATTCACGGAAGAAACTAAAGATGGAATATTAATTCTCAAGATATAATTATGGAAATTTTACTTAATTTAAATATTCAAAATTACCAAATTTATTTATTTTCAATTTAATAGTATTGCAGCTGATGGCGATATCCTATAATTAATTTTCAATGATATTCTTTCTCTCTTCTTTTTTTTATTCTTGTAAAACATTTTTAAAAATCCACGAATCAATAAAATAATTTTTACAATTTTTTTTAAGTGTAATAAATATAATCAATCAGCTCTTTCGGAATTAACACATCGGTTGAAATAAATTATTTTATCAAATATTATGTAAAAAAATGGAAACTACAACAATAATGAATATGAATTTTAAAATATAAAGATAGGAAAAAAAGAAAATAACGAAATAAATGCAAAAATCCAGCGAAAAAAGTAAGATAAATATTAATATTTAAACAAAATATAATAAAGTATCGATATCAAGGAAGTAGTAAAGATACGATGCCTATATAAGTATCCTATTTAGCATGTTAGAATCTTGTATCTTATATTAAAGCATTCACTATATTACCCAACTCTGCTTATTAATAGAGATGTGGCTAATTCCATCATAATAATAGTTAAGCCTTATTTTTAAAATAAATTTTAAAAGCTTATTAAACCATGAATTTATAAGAAAAAAAGACAAATTTCTACACAGATAAGAAAAAAAGGGTTTAAAAGTAAAATATCAGGCTCCATCACGATGTTTATTGAATGCGAAATATCAAGTTTCAAATAATAATCATCATAAAACTGATATTCATAATAAAGAAAGTGTTGTTAATAAGTTTCCTATTTCAGACTTTTAAACCGAGTAAGCTTTATTGTGAATAACATACTAGAAATAAATTACGATTTAAAGCTTCGTTAAAATTCAAAGTATTATGACTTAATCCTTTAAGGCTCGGAAAAAAAGTGCTCATATTTTTTGTTGTATTGAAAAGTTTATTTTTAGCTATAAAATATAATTAAAATTTTTCAGAGGTATTATTGATACTACCTCCCCCAGCCATATCAGAAGGTGCAGCAATTTTATAAATGATCAAAAGGGGATCATTCCAATGCTCCATCTTTTTAAATGTGTTTTAATCATCTTATAAGCCTTAGAATTATAAAATCTATCTTTTTTTAAATTTTAACCCTGTTTCAAATATAACTTGTGTAGTAAATTGGAATAATTAAAAAATAATTTAATTTTTTCGTGGTTTTAAATTAAGTAGCTCGCGCTAGTATCAGAGATTATTTTAAAATGATGTTTTCTTTAAAAATGTTTCGTGCCCTCATTAAAGTAAAAAATATTTTTGTGGAAATGAAGGCTAGGAAAAATCTTATATATTTTTTTCACATTTTCATATAAATAAATAAGTTATTTGAATTGTATATATTTTAAAAAAAACTTGGTACGTGAATATATGCCAAATTAAGTTTAAATTTTGGATAAATCATGGCAGCTACATTAATAATAACTAATTCAATTTTTATGCTACTGTTATATAAAAATAAGCAATATGATACTTTACCACCCCTGATTATAAACCCCACATTTCCAAGACCGAAAAATTGTTATAAAGCTTACATACAAAATATATATATATATAGTTTTTCTACCAAACTTTTATTTATAAAATCTTTATTACAAGTTTTTTTTTAAAAATACATATAATTATAGTTATATTATATAAATAATAAAATAAAAAATATATTGAAATTAACAAAGGACAAGATTATGTAAAATAAATCTATATAAATAATTTACTAGTAAAAAAAATATGATATATATTTTTTATATATTACTTACTTTACGTAATTAAATAATATCGTAAAAATTTAGAACAACATCATGATATTTGGGCCATATTAGAAATATATTGTTGATTAAAAATAAATGAATTTAATTAGATAACGATTTCAAATATTTTAAAATATACTAAAAAAATATGCATGAGATTATATAAAATATATATAAATTAAAAATAATTCCATAATTTTATTTAATGTTAGATTTACAAAATGAACATATCTAACAATCATCATCATGAATAAAATGCATATTCTGAAATAAATTATATTGATAAAAATTTTTTTTTATAAATATTCTTTATAGTAAATAACTATATACTATAATTCCTAAAAAATTGAGTATTATATTCGCAATGAAACAATTTATACAAAGTTAGTTTTAAAATACTAATTTTTTTTAAGGTAAAGTATAAAATACTTTATCTCCAACTGGTAACTCTTTCATATGTAAATTGATTGGTTTCTTGGCATAAATATCTACCTTATCCTTAAAAGTATTTGAGTTGATTGGATTCGCATTTCTTGATTCAAAATAATATTAAAACAAATTTTATTACAGATTATCTGTCAATATAAGATTTAGCTTATTTAAAAATTATTTTTAAGTGATAATAGGATAATATTTTATATAATTTTTTTCTAAAGATAACATATTTTTTTTTGTAGATAAAATATTGCATCGCAAAAAATATTTTCTTAAAATTTAAACCTTGGTTTAACAGTTTGATGATGATAGATTCAAAAAAATATCATTAAAATTGTTTTCTAATATAAAGTTGGTAAGAGAATGTTCATTTATTAATTAAGGCCTATTTTTTGAAATCTTTAATTTTTTTCTTATATTTAAGTAATATAAAACTTTATACTTTAAAATAATCCCTTTCTAATTTAACAAATGAATATAAGACGTAGATAGACCAGACTAATTGCTACATCGGAATATAAATATTTTATCAATTTCGGTAAAGTTCTAGGCAAGATTTAAGTTTTATTTTTAAATAAATATCAAAGTTTTCCGGTGATAAATAAGGTGAGCCCACCTAAATAATAGTGTCACATTAGAATTTAATTTCTGTAGAAATAATATTTTAAATATTAGAACTAGTTAATTCCAAATATTGGAAACGGTTAGAAGCCGAAAATTAGAAGGGTTAACTATTTTGTACAACATAATTACTTGTGATTTTTAATTTTTTTATTAGAATAATTTTAAAAAAAATTAAATTTCGTTTAAGCCTTTTTATATATTTTTAAAATCATATTAAAAATATTCACATGTTATTTATTACAGTTCTAATTTTTTTATTGATTACTAATATATTTGGATATAATAAATAAAACAATAAGTTAAAAATATTGATTTGAATCAGTGATTTAAAAAAAATTGGGGCTGATTTAAGTCGAGATTTAAAGTAATTTGTATATCTGCAATAAATTTGATTTAGCCTGCCAACCCTAAATATAAAAATATTGATTATCTTACTCTGTGATATATTAAAGATAGGCTGCACCATAGCTCGTCTTAATTCTGAATAGAACATTCTATAGCACCTAGGACAATCTTTTTGGGTCATTTTAAATTATATTACCTGAGATAATGGGGAAAGGGAAAATTGACTTTTTTAAATCTTTTACTGATGTTAAATAATTAAGTCAATAATTGAAAATTATGGGGGAAACATAGTGTTGTTGATTAGTCGAGTTTTTTCGACTACGACGAATAGTCGTAGTCATGGAAATCGACTAAAAACTTTAGAACGACTAATTTAGTTGACTAAAACGACTAATATAGTCGACTAAAACGACTAATATAGTCGACTAAAACGACTAATATAGTCGACTAAAACGACTAATATAGTCGACTAAAACGACTAATATAGTCGACTAAAACGACTAATATAGTCGACTAAAACGACTAATATAGTCGACTAAAACGACTAATATAGTCGACTAAAACGACTAATATAGTCGACTAAAATGAATAATATAGTCGACTAAAACAACTAATTTAGTCAGCATAGTCGACTAAAATGACTAATATAGTCGACTAAAACAACTAATTTAGTCAGCATAGTCGACCCATTTAGTGTACATGCTAAATCGATTAATTTAGTAGACTAAATCAATTTTTTGAGCCTAACTGAACCTGAGCACCGTATAGTCGGGGTTAGTCTAGTTCTTCCGACTGCTTGTCAGAGAAGATAAACCATAGAAAAGTCATAAATCTCATATTAGTTATTTTTAATAATTTTTTGTTTTTCTTAATTTTTTTTTTGATAAAATGGGCAAAAATATACTGTTAAATTTAAATTAGGATGTATCATAGAAAAGTGACAATTTTCATAATCGTTATTTTGAAGTTTTTTGAGTTATTTTAAAGTAAATAGGTAAAAATATATTTTGTAAAGATGTTAAAATAAAATTTCAGTGAAGATGTACCATAGAAAAGTGACAATTGCCATAATCATTATTTTTGAACTTTTTTGAATTTATTTAAAGTAAATAGGTAAAAATACATATTGAAAAGATGTTAAATTAAAATTTCAGTGAAGATGTACCATAGAAAAGTGATAATTGTCATAATCGTTATTTTTAAACTTTTTTAAAACAAATAGGTAAAAATATTTATTGTAAACATGTTAAATTAAAATTTCAGTGAAGATATACCATAGAAAAGTGACAATTGACATAATCGTTTTTTGTGAACTATTTTGACTTTTTTTAAAGTAAATAGGTAAAAATTAAAGTTACAGTGAAGATGTACCATAGAAGAGTGGCAATTGTCATAATCGTTATTTGTGAACTTTTCTGAATATTTTCAAAGAAAATAGGTAAAAATATATATTGTAAGCATGTTATATTAAAGTTACAGTGAAGATGTACCATAGAAAAGTGATAAATGTCATAATCGTTATTTTTGAACTTTTTTAAAACAAATAGGTAAAAATATTTATTGTAAACATGTTTTAAAATTTCAGTGAAGATGTACCATAGAAAAGTGACAATTGTCATAATCGCCATTTTTGAACCTTTTTCTATTTTTTTAAAGCAAATGGGTAAAAATATATATTGTAAACATGTTATATTAAAATTTCAGTGAAGATGTACCATAGAAAAGTGATAATTGTCATAATCGTTATTTGTGAACTTTTTTGAATTTTTTCAAAGCAAATAGGTAAAAATATATATTGTAAAGATGTTAAAATAAAATTTCAGTGAAGATGTAGTATAGAAGAGTGACAATTGTCATAACCTTTATTTTTCAATTTTTTCAAAACAAATAAGTAAACATATTTATTGTAAACATGTTAAGTTAAAATTTCAGTTAAGATGTACATAGAAAAGTGACAATTGTCATAATTAATATTTTTCAACTTTTTTGATGAAACGAGTTGACTTTTAGCCTACGCCCGTTTATCTTATTGGGCGAGCTTGCTAAATAATATTAAAAATTGCAAGCGGACCGGTTAAAAAATTTTTACTTTTATTTGTTATTTAAAATTTATTAGGTGAACATTGAAAAATATATGTAACATAAAATTTTAACATTTTTAATACCAAAGTACAGATAACTGTTGTGGATGTTATATTTGGGAGAAGCTAATGAGATTAGAAAACTCCTTAGATTTGATCTGCATGGAAGAATATAACATCGACGTGAATAAAAATATGATTTATCCGTTTTCCCAAAAGCAAAGAAAATTCAATTATTAAATTTTAAATGCAATGTTTGAAATAGGTAGCATCCACGTCAAGATTAAATCACAACAGAAGAGTAGATGAGGTTAATAGAGGAGAGCACACTTTTTAATCACATAACAAAACGTTTAAATTTGATAAGGAGATTGATTTATAAATCTACAATTATACATATAAATAAATTTCTTGATTTGAAAACTATTTCAATAAAAAAAAGATTGAGTTTTGTTAATTGGTTAGTTGTGTAACCCCAGACCCTGAGTTTGGGTCTATGACTAAACCAACTCTGATCACGAGTCCCGGAGTAAGAACCGGGGTTCACACCCTTAATCGCCACGCCTAAAAAATTAGAACATGTATTTTCTTTAAAAAATTTGCAAAACTTTACTGAATTTATTATATATATAAAGTATTTAAGAATAAATGGTTGGGGGGGGGGGGGTTAGCTTTTATCACAAAATCGATTTTCATAATTCTCCCTCAAAAAAATTTATCTCGCAATTGATCATACTTTTCCTCTTTTAATAATTTTTTTTCAAAAAAGGAAAACAAACCCCTATATTTACGTGATATATAGCGCTTTTGCCCTCTAACGTTGAAGATTCAACAGAGCTACGCTAGGTTTTCCTCATTTCCATCTAATTGGAACAATTTAATTTGGGTATAAAAATAAAAATATGAGGAGCCCTCCACACGTTTGTGGGCAAGCCGCACGTACTTGTAGGCACAACATTTCGAAAAATGTTGCTTAAACCTCTATAGGCTTTAATTTAGAAGGAGTGGGACAAAGAAAAAGCCTATACCCGAGAACTACAGTATAATTTAATTACTTTAAAGGTGGGTGATGGCTGATTTTTAGCTTAATTTCTTTAATGTAAGTTATATCTGTAAATAAATATGATTAAAATAAAATAATATTTACCACCGGATGAACCGAACTCCAAAAGGCCAATAATCAACCCCTATATTTTCATTTTTCAATATTATTTTTATTTTCATATAATAAAATATCATCACATTTTGAGATTTTATTTATTATTTTAATTTTGATATATTTTAGGGCCTAGCTGGCACCATTATTTTTTTTTAAATTATGATTTTAGAAAATAAATGATCAATCCCTCTCCCGTCTCTCTCTCTCCCATTGTTATTTAAAATTTGTAACAATAATTTAGCAAGATTTTTTGGTTATTTAAATTTATTATTTTAAATTTCAATGATTATAGCGCCTAGATGGCACCAGTTAGTTTTTGTTTTAAATTTTTATTTTTAAAAAAAATTTTTTATTTTAAAAAAATCTAACATTTTTTCCTTTGAATTTTTTTTATCATAGAAGAATGCAGAAGGGATATTTAATCATGGAGAAAAAATGTGAAATAGAATTTAAATAATTATAGACTTTTCGTCTTGCCCCGCCCATATAAAAAAATTTAAACCACTCTCGTCCCCCATATAAAATTTAAATATGCCCATTCTTCAAATTTTTTAAGCATCTAATAACATATAAATGATTCAGTTTCAAGGCTACACCCTTACTAAGAATTAAAAAAATATTCGATTTAAATTATGTTTAAAATATTTATGATAATATAAAATTATTTTAACGCATGTTGATTTTTTTCACCATTAACTATTTATTTATTTTTTAAATAAAAGAATTAAGATAATATATATAATTTTTACGTTGATAAATCTCATTAACTTTGAACCTTTGCGCAAGTAAACAAGAATATATTCTGGCTCAATTTACACTAAAAGTTCTCTAATTTTTCTTCGTCTATATTAGTTCTCATCCTATTTTTTATAATTTTTAATTTACTAAATGTTCTCTCGCAATTAACTTGCGTAAATGACAGTTAAAATGTATTCATAAGTCAAAAATAAATTTGTGTATGCACTTGTGTACATATTGTATCTCAAGAATTTCATACACGCATATTAAACAATTGTTACATTCATTATCCTATTTCACATTCTATTGTAATTTTTCATTAGACTCCTCACCTGCACATATAATATCATAGTCCGTTTCATTTAATTCTGCTATTAACTCTTTGAGTTCACCGGCAAATGAACACAATTCGTTACGTAATTTAACACACAATATACCAATTGTGTCAGTTTTTCCAAGGCCTTTTCAGAAATCCCTTTACTATTATTTTCATCAAAATGCCTAGGATGTAAATATTGCACATTCAAAATAAGCTCTTTTTTCGCAGAATATAATTTTATCAATTATAGGACGAAATACTTCGACACTATAATTGCAAATCAAATCCAACAAGTTTTTATTTATCTCATTAATTTTTCCGACGATAACATCCACAACAGTTATGTATTTAAAATTTTTTTTATAAAACATATATTTTTTAATGTTTACCTAATAAATTTTAAATAACAAATAAAAGTTGTTTGCTAGCCCTCCCATTGTTAAAATTTTCAAAGGTCCGTTAGCACTTTTTAAATTATTTAGCTAGCCCGCCCAATTAGGGGCGTGGGCTAAAAACCAGATCGTTTGGACAAAAAAAATTAAAAAATATTTTAAATAACGATTATGACAATTATCATTTTCTATGGTACATCCTCACAGAAATTTTAACTTAACATGTTTACAATAAATATTTTTACCTATTTACTTTGAAAAAATTCAAAAAAGATAAAATAACGATTATGACAATTGTCGTTTACAATATCATATTTTTACCAGTTTGCTTTAAAAAAATTCAAAAAATTAAAAAAATAACGATTATGACAATTGTCACTCTTCTATGGTACATCTTCCCTGAAATTTTATTTTAACATCTTTGCAATATATATTTTTACCTATTTACTTTAAAAAAATTCAAAAAAGTTAAAAAATAACGATTATGACAATTGTCACTCTTCTATGGAACATCTTCACTGAAATTTTATTATAACATCTTTACAATATATATTTTTACCTATTTACTTTAAAAAAATTCAAAAAAGTTAAAAAATAACGATTATGACAATTGTCACTCTTCTATGGTACATCTCCACTGAAATTTTATTTTAACACATTTACAATATATATATTTTAACTATTTACTTTAAAAAAGTTCAAAAATAACGCTTATGACAATTGTTATTTTTCTATGATGGTACATCTTCACTGAAATTTTATTTTTACATCTTTACAACATATATTTTTACCTAAAAAATTCAAAAAAGTTCAATAACGATTATGACTATTGCCATTTTTCTATGGTACATCTTCACTGAAATTTTAATTTAGCATGTACAATTTATTATTTAATCGTCGCTTCAAAAAATATTACAAATAACGATAATGATAGATAAATGTCAGTCACTATACTTTAGTTCATCTTCTATGATATCTCAAGTAGTCGGAAAAACTAGACTAATTAGCCACACTAACCCCAATTATACAGTTATGCAGATTCGGTTAGGTTCAAAAATTTGATTAGTTGACTAAGCTGGCTAAAAGGGTCGACTACTTTAGTCGACTTAATTAGTTCTTTTAGTTGACTAATAGACTAATTTAGTTGCTAAAGTTTTTAGTCGAATTTTTCGACTAAAACTATTAGTTAGTCGTCTGTTAGTCGACTAAATTTAGTCGACACTAGGGAAACATCAAAATTAATTGTAAATATTGGTCATCTTATGTCCATTTGAAAATTTAAAATGAATAATTCTAATATATTATGAGCTTCAATTGTAAATTTTTATTTTCTATTATTTATTACATAGCGAATAATATATTTAAAATAAGTATAGTTTGCGCTATATATGAACATTTCAATGTAATAAAAGACTTTTTCTATTGTTAAAAATTATTTTATTGGTCATCTAATGTCCAGTAAAAAAATTAAAATTAATATTTCGAAATGATTATGTGCTTCAATTTTTTAAATTTTTTTCTGTTAATCACTTACTATATTTCTAATAACTTTTTCAATAATTAGCGCAGCTGGGTAATTATTTAAAAAAATATCGCGAATCAAAAAAGTACATATGGCGCTATACATGAAACCTTTAATTCATTAAAATGCTTTTTTTTATCGGTTTTAACATCAGTAAAAGGTTAAAAGAGCCGATTTTTGTATCTTTAATTCGCATTATCAGTAATATAATTGCTAATGAGCCAAAATTTAGTTTCAAATATTGCTAAAACATATATAACTTGCCTATAAATTTTTATCGAAGAAATCGAGCGAAAGATGTTTAAATTGACATGCAATGACCCTTTTATAATTTTTTCTTATATTATAGATTTTGACATAGAAGGTATGTATTATTTATTTAGTCTAAAATAGTATTCCATTCAGACAACTATTTAGAATCTTCAAAAAAAAAAGACGAGCTAAGAGGCACTTTGTGTGCAACCTTATTTTGTTTAATCAGGTACCTGGTAATTTGTGTATTCGTTCGGGTGTGATATTGTAACTTTTTGACTTGATTTCGTAGTTTTACTATTATTTTGCAATAAATTTGCTTTTTCTTGAATCGATTCGTATAAAAATAATGTACATAATAATATAATAATAACTCAAATAAAGTACCAAATGAATGAAAAAAAAATTTCTTAAAAATTAAATACAAATATAATGAAATGAAATGATTATTTTTTAACAAGCAAGTATGCAACGGGGAGCTTCAAAGCCAAAAAATTCAGACGCCCACTAAAATCCGTTTTCAAAAATATTATTGATTCCTTTCCCTTTTGGCATATATTCCAATTTACATTTATTTATCACATTCACAGCACAAACAAATACATTCTGTGAATTAATATCGATTTCAAAATTTCCTTATATCTATCCACCATTTTAAAATTTCCCACCAAATCATCTAAAACATTTCCACTCCAAAACTCTAGTGAAATATTTCTAAAAAATGACATGGATGAAGTTATTGAAAAATTAGCTTAATTTTAAATAATATTGAATATTACATTATAAATTTATAATTATTTTCCCCCATTCTTCACCATTTTTTTCATGAATACTTTATAAGTTTATATAGCAATAATTATTAAAAATATTTTTATGCATTAATCTATATTTCCATTTCTTTTTTAAATATAATTTAAATTTATACATCAAATTTTAAATGCTTAAAAAATTTATATTATTTTTACAAAAATCTTTTTCAAGACATTTATTTTATAGTGATTCATAAGCCTATTATATATGTTAGCGGCAATGTGTTATTTTTTCAACTTTAAATCATTTTTTGAACGCGTTTTTTAAAATTTAAAAATATAATTTGACCGAAAATGTATTCCAACATGTTTAGAATAGCTATATTAGGAATTGCAGATAATGTTACCTTTAAATTTCGAGTCATTTGTAATTTATGTGAAAAATATATGGAGAAATTAATATAAATGATATTGAGTTCAAAAGTTCATGGCAAAATTGTCTGAAATTTTTGTGCAGTTATGCAAATAAAAGATAAAAATATATTATTTTCTTGCCAAATTAAATATACTTTTCCTTCTAGCATACTGGTAAACAAATCTAATGTGAGAATTGTTCATTTCAGCCGTTTTATATTCAATTATATAAGTTATCATCTTCTGCGCTATATCATTTTTTAAAAAAATTAACAAATGTGCAATAAAGTATATACAATATAACCAAATTTTATCAACTAGTATAACATTTCTTCAGTGAAATCATTCTTTATTTATTAAATTTTTTTTATAACTGATAGGTTCTAGATTACCGAAACAAAAATCGCTATAGGAAGGTACTATTTAGGCAAGACCTGATGGTAGGTATTCCAAAAATAATGGAATACATTTCCGGTAAAATCATATTTTTAAATTAAAAAATGCGCTCAAAAAATAATTGAAAGTTGAAAAAATATCACATTGCCGGAAAAAACACATTGTCGCTAACATATACATTTCATATTTTATTATTCATTTATATTTAAATATGTGTATTAAAAATCGTAAATATTAAATAATCATTAGTCCTAATAAATTTCTGAAACTTTAGATATTCTTAAATAACTCCGCGATCGCGCCTATTTAAGTGATGTGTCGTGTGGCTACAATTGATGATTATTAATTCTCATTTATGATTATATGTTACAGAAAACCTAAATTAAATCGCCATGTGTTTTTCTTTTTATTATACTTTTTCTTCATAAAATATTTCAGAAATGTTTCTTAGTAAATTTTTATTTTAATCGTAAAATGTTTTTTTTGGATCAAGTAATTTTTTTAAAATTAATTGAAAAGTGATTGAGACATAGTAAGAAAAATATGGAGGTATAATCCACGAGAAAAGGGTAACTAGCAACATCAAGTTATATAGATCGTATTGTCAAAGGAATAAGAAAAAGTAATTATATCAAGGCTAGAGGTTTGCAAATTGATAAACTGGTCAAAGAGTGACCATATCCAAAATCCAGAGGTTAACGACATATGGGAAGATAGAAGAGTTCATTTGAGAATAAATGAGTTCCCTATAGTATTTTTAAAAAAAGAATTATTAATCATTTCAATACGTTCCAAGTAAATATGTTTTCATCCAAAGTCTGTTGTCTGTTATGCATCACCAATATTTAAATAAAAACATTATGTGATTAAAACAGTAAGAAAAATTTTGACATTTTTTTTGATATGAAGAAAAAGAATAAAAGCCACAATAAAAAAATGATTACGGGTATAATTTGCATGCAAGAGTATTATAGAAAAAAGTGATAAGAATAGATAAGATTTAGATGTGGAAACTGTGAAGAGTGAGCTTATTGTGTAGTGTTACTAAAGTAACAGTACATCTTACTTTTAAACATTAAATAGTACCAGTTACTTCTCGTATTACTTTAAAAATATTTATATATCTCTTTATCTTTGTATATGCTGATCTCCAAAATTTAAAATTACCGTTAAATGTAATGTCTCACTTTCTAGCACTCCTGTAGAACGATTATTTAGTCTAGAGATACCTATTTTCGGAAAAAAACTAGCACGTATTTTATAAACCAATTTTGAATATAGTTCATTGGGAAAGTCAAATAAAATTATTAAGCCCAATTAATTTAAAAAGGAGAATATATGGTTTTTAATGCCATTATTTTTTTTATATTTAATTGTAATTCTACTTAAATTAATTTTATTAAAATTTGTAAATCATAAAATTATTTTATAAATTATTTTAAAATGATGAATTATATAAATAATTTAAAGTAACTAGTTACTTCTAGTTAAATTTTAAAAAATGTAGCTTGCAACTATAACTTATTATTTTTCAAAAGTAACATTAGCAACACTATAAATGTGTTAATAATAATAAATATTTGTTTTTTTCTTTGTATACGAAATAAATTCTTTATAACTTTCAATTTCATTCAATATTGTCTAATCTATTTTTATTTAACTCAAATTCTATATTGTTATCATTTATATTTGTAAAATAGTTTTAAATAATTTTTTAAAAATATCCATTGTTAATCTTATGTGTAAGTCCACTTAATTGGCTCCAAAAATTGGATTTTATATAAATTCTAGCTCAAAAATATCATAAACAGAGTTTTGATTTAAATTTTATTTTTAAGATTAAGATAAGGACTAAATATTCATAAAATTTATTTTTAACAGTTTGAAAAAGATGGGATCATGGCTCTCCACTGGATCAATAAAATAAATAATACTTATACAAAAATATCAAAGCGGAATCTTAAAAAAGGTAAGAGATTACTTTTTTGTATTCATCGCATTTCAAATTTAATTCATCTTGAAATTTATGCAAATCTTTCTGTAGATTAAAAATTTTGTCTTCTTTTTCTCGTATATCGATTTGAAAGCCTTGTTTATTTTGACGAGCAATCTTTAAAACATTATATAATATAGGCAAAAAAATAGCAGATCAACAATATATCTAATATTTTTTAAAAATATTATTTTTTACGTTGAGAATTTTTCAAAATTTAGTTGCAACGTTTCATCGGTGTTATGCCAAATATCATTATCAATAATTATTTTAGAAAGAAAATCAAAATAAGCTGTAAAATGGTTGGCCACCAATTAAAACAAACATAATATTATTATAAAATGAATTTAACAAAATATTGGTAATATAAATCCTTAATAACCATTATTTTAAATATAGCCCTTTTCAAAAAAAATGGCATATTAAAAAAATACTCACCAATAATTGTAAGTATATTATAAAAAATTTTTTAAAAAAACAATTCTCAAAATCAGTATTGGCCAATACTTTTAATTTTACCCGATACCCAAATTAATAATTAACCCATATAAAAAAAGTGGCCTATATCAAACCATGATTTGATAAGAAAGAAAAATTGATCTACAAAATTCTAAACAGATAATAAGAAAGTGTTATTAATTTTATTTCCTTTAAAAATTTTGTTGTGAAATTAACTTTATTAATAAAGAATAATAAATTAAGACTATAAGTTTCAATTAATATTGACAGGCATTTTTTTGACTTAAATTAATAATCAAACAATATTTATGTAGAAATGGAAGCTGGATAATATTTTTTTATAAATTTGTTATTTTTTGTATTGCATTTCATTTAAAAAAATATGGTATCTGTATATGATTGGCCAACAGGCGCGTACGCAGCGGGGGGGCAAAGGGATAAATCCTCTCCCCAAAGCCAAAAAATGCAGATGCCGGATATATTTTTCAAAAATATTGTTTATATTAATTTATATTTGTTAATATTTATTCCTATCTCATATTAAATATTTAATTACATTTATTTATCACATTCATCTACCGTTATTTTATCGATTAATTTCGATTTCAAGTTTTCCGGCGTGATATTTACTTATTATTTTCAAATTTTTGTGGTGTAATATTTATCTACCATTTTCAAATTTATAGTCGAATAATAATTATTTCTGAAACTCCTTGTCCAACAGGGAGAAAGAAAAAATTGCAAGCTTGTCCAAAGAGATAGAGTCTTCGCCATCAAGCAGTAATAGCTTTTATCGAGTTAGAAGAGCCGATTATTTGCTATTACTGAAATATCACAATGGCCTGAAAGAAATATTTCCTCAGAAGCAAGAAAATTATTGGATTCAATGCTTATTCCAAATTTTTTTCCTCATTAGAATGTTTTATTTAATTATACAACTATATGTAATACTTTTCAAAAACAACTTGATTAATAAGATGAGAATAGCGGAGAGCATTTTATTAGAACTCAAGGAAATTAGGGCTAATGTTGATGAAGAATTTCATATTTTATATGTTATTGTTGAGTCAAAAGCAGAGCTATACCTGTTTAATATTTGTCTCCCTTGACTTGCAGCAAGCCAAGCTCATCGTTAAAACATTAATATAGGATCAATATAAGAGTATTATAAAACAAATGCCCCCTCTCTTAGATATATTTATAACCCAAATAAATGAATGGTTTTTAATTCATCATGCAGCACTCAATCTGCAGATATTACTTTCACAAAAGCCTTACCAACCTTTTCAGATGGTGATAGAAAAAAATATTTGTTAGATTTTTATCATGAAGATGTTAAAGTATCTTATGATGCCTTATTAGCTGAATAACTATGTTTATAAAATTAACTATGGTTGATATAGTCCCAAAAAAAGGCTATGGATGCTTTGCATTTCAAACATATTTTAATATTCCCAAGTATTAAAAGGGTTTATATATTAGCAACTCTTCCCATTAGTAAACTAATGAGAACATTCTCTTTTTTAGGAAGAATAACAGAGCCCTGCAGAGTTACCATTTGCAGGGCACGGGCCCGTATTTTTTTAAAAATTTTTTACTGCCCGGTTTTGGTTTTTTTTAAAAAAATTTCAGGCCCAGCCCGGATTTTTAAAAATAAATTATATTTTTTTTTGATTTTTATAACTAAATAACGATTTTAATTATAGGCTGTTTTAAAATATAAAACCCGGCCCGAATATTTTTTTAAAAAAATTTTCAGGCCCTGCCCCGGTGTTTTTTTAAAAAAAATTCGGGCCCGGCCCGGGTATATTTAAAAAATTAAAATCCCGCAGGTCTCTGAAAAACATACCTAGAAGTACAACTTCTGAAAGTAGATTGAAAGGTATAGATCTTTTGAATATTCATAGGCATTTGACGATAAGCAAGGATGAGATAATTGAAATATTAGCTCAATCCCAACGAAGAATTATTCCTTATAAACTTTTTGTGTATTAATTTATATTTCCAATATTTAAATTTTTTATATATATAAATTTTAAAGGCTCAAAAAATTCAAATTTCTATTTTGGGTCAAGTGGTTATATTCACTTTATATTTTTTCTATACCGCCAGTTATATCCGTTTAATATTTTTTAATTCACATTTATTTTATAGTTTTTTATATGACGGTTTATATATATAATTTTTTTATAATTCACATTAATTTAAAATTGTGTATTAGAAATAGTTATTAGTTCTAATAAATTTATGCTTGATATTTTTAAAAAACAATAATATTTCTTAAAAAATTTTATTATCCTCCCCCCCCCCCAGACCAAATTCCTGCGTACGCGCCTGTTGGCCAATACCTATTAGAAGCTATCAGTAAAAAGTTGGTATCGGTGCATCTTTGTATAAAATGGTTGGCGTCGCTAACACTTAACACCTAGGCATGAAAAAGAGAACTTTTTTGATTTAGGGTAATTCAAAAAAAGAATTTTTTTTTATGAAATATCAAATATTTTAGGCATATAAATTTACTCTAAACAGGAGTTTGCCGCGCACTATAACATGAATTATAGACTACACAATTAATGAATAAAATCTCTAAAGGTAGTTAAAAAAGTAACTAATCAAATTTCATAATAAAAAATCGTTTAGAATTATAAATATTATAATGTACATTGATAAATTCGGTTCCCAAGTTTTTGTTTTGATTTATCAAGACCGCCAGCTTTTGTTGAACCTGAGTTAGGGATATTCTTAACTCCTTGTTCTCATCGTTCAATTTAGACGTTACATTGTTCAAAGTGTGTTCTCTTTGGCTAATTTTTTTGCGAAATATCGACATTAACTTGCACTTATTCGAACGTTCTGTTACTAGTTTCTTTTGCAGATTTCGGATAATGTCAAACAGTTTCCTATCATGTATTAGTGCATAATTATATATAAATTGTTGATTCTTAAAAAATATTGCGAGTAAAAAAACAGTTAGGACAAAAGTCCTATAATTTGGGGTATCAATCCATCTTATTTGAATAGGTGTCACATCAAAAACATCATTGGGTTGAGATTTTTGAAATCTATGGGTTATTGATTTAAAAAGTATTTTTTATAAATTTAAAACTTATTTTATCAAATAAATTTTGAAAATATCATTAAGGTATTTGCCAATCCCTAATCCCGAACAATATTTTTTCGTGCAACCAATTTATTTTTAATTAAAATAATGAAATGATTAAATACCGATTCTTTATAATGTATATATGAAAATCAGCAACTCAATGAGGTTTTTATGTCAGATATAATTTGAACATTAATTATAAATTAATATTTTAACCTTTTATCTCTCATAACACATTCTTTTGTCGATTTAATTAATTCGCTTTTCTCACACTCAATACAGTCGAGTGTATTTTGTAAATGTTTGGATTCCCGTTCCCATTTTTGCCTTTGCTGTGACATTATATCGTTTAAAACTTCCATTTCTTTGTTGATCGTATCACTAATTAATATAATAATAATAAAAATGAATAGAATAATGAATATAGAGGCGTCAATGGGTAAGAGGGAGGTCAGGGAAGTCAATCTCACCTCAGTTTTAAAATTTTTGACCCTTCCCCCCAATAATATTAAAATGTATACTGATTTAAATTTGCTTTATTTTTAAATAATATTTTTAGTTAAATTTTTCCTTAAATTATATTTTATATATTTGGAAAAAAAATTTGATTAATCTAAAAATAAAATTTTGTTTATATTCAAATTATAAATTTAGGTAATAAAAATTGGCTTTACAACATTTTTAATCAAAATAAATTTGCCCTCCTCCCCCACACTGATATGGGAAAGCTTTGTCACTATTTTCAAGTTTTTTAAAAATTGACTTTAAGTAATTTACATTTATATAAAATATATTTATACTTTTCTCTCTTTAAAGTATCAACTTCATATTTGGCCTTATTCTCTATTTCCAATCGAAGTGTGTCAATTTTAAGTTTATATTTTTGCTGTAATAGATCATCAATTTCCTTGTTATCAATCCTTTCATGTTTTTGAATTTTGTTTTTGAGTGCCTCATTTTGAATCAAAAGTTCATTGTTTTGGCGGATTAAATTTTCATTGGAAATTGATAATTCATTTTTATTTTGCAGGTCTTTCAAATTTAGCCTATTTTTATTTTAATTTTTTTAAAAAAAATTTTTGTTTTTAAAGACCAATAATTCTTTTTTTAATTTAAGATTTTGCATTTCAAAGAATTCAATAAAACAAAATATTTCTTTCTAATAACGTATAATTTATTCCTTGCATTACATAGAATACATTTAAATAAACCCTGTATAAGCTTAAAGGTATACAAATATTTAGCAGGGGGTATTAAAATATACATTAATAATATAATTGTGAAATGGATTGTCTGTGATTACCGTTTAAACCTTTATGTAATTTTAAAACAGAGATGTACTGATTTTGAATCACTATAGAAATATTTCGAATTATTCCTTATTCTAGAAAAACTTACAACTTACTTACATAAAATCAGCTGCATTAATACAACTATTTTTGACATTACCACAAGTACCAAATTTTTTTTAGATAATATAATCCCCCAAAAATTTAAATTTATTTAAAAATTTCCACAAAAAATATTATTTGATTACTAATTTCTAGTGCTGTAAACGTTACCTCAAAAAAGAAACGCGTTACCGTTACTCGTTACATTGGAAAAAAAGGAACGCGTTACCCTTACTCGTTACCTTTTTAAAAAAGGAACGCGCGTTACTGACTTTTCAAAAAGTAACTTATTACTCGATACTTAAAAAAATTAAATATTATATACAAAAATATATTTATTTTTTCTTACAATATATAATATAGACAAAATTATAAAAAATAATACATAAAATGATGAGATCTTATTATAAAAATTTTTCATATATAATATATAATCATAAGATAACATTTTTTTGTAATAATATTTTATTTATTTTTAGCAATAATTGATTTTCAAAATTTTCATCAGACGAACAAGAGCGCTTAGTGCTCAACACAGCCTACGCCGTGCTAAACACACGTTCAATTGGAGCAGAGGATGGGAGGGTGGTATTATATTTAATAAATAAAAATTTTAACTCGGGGAATTTATTAAAAATATTTAAAGAAGTATCTTTATTTTGAAAAAAATTTAATAAAACATTTTCACAAGGATTTTCATTAATTTCCTCATCAAAAAAAAATTAATCTTTATCAGAAATATTTGGGTATTTGTTTTGGATAAGGGAATCAGGTCTGCTCTTTCTCTATCAAGATCTTTTCTCAAAATGGAAATAAGATCTTGCATTCTTTGTTTATTCATCTCTGATTTTATCCAGGGCCAATCTAATTTAAAGAGTGGGTGAATCATTGCTGATAGTATATAGGGTTAAATTTTCTTCATCAGAAGAATCAACTATTAAGAGTTTGGCATATATTCTTAAAATAAATTATAATATAGAATAATAATATTAATATATACTTTGAATTTTGATTGAATATTAGTTAGATTAAAATTTGATTGAAAATAACGAGCGAAAATTTAAATAAGAATGAAAGGAATGGTGGTTGATATGAATTAAAAACTCGGTTTATTATTTATATTAAAAATAAATAAAAGTAATTTTATAGCACAATAAAATATGTTTTTTTATTAATATTTTTTTAAGAAAAAATTTAAAGTAACGAGTAACGTTTTGCGTTACCGTTACCCAAAAAAAAGAAACGCGTTACCGTTACTCGTTACTTCTAGAAAAAGGTAACGTATGACGTTACTTTTTTGACGTTACCGTACAGCACTACTAATTTCTAATTGCCGTTTAAAATTTAATGAAACTTGCATTCGTAATTTATTATTGTATATTTATTATTCATAATAAAGTTAAAAAAAATTATAAAATTAAGAATAGAAAAAAAAATTTAACAAAGCTTTGCTTATATTATTAATATCGCTTTTATGATGATTACTATTGCAAACCAAAAATTAAAATATTAAGCATTCAATAAGCAGTTTGATGGAAAATCTAATTTTTTACTTTTAAAGATATTATTTTTGGGTATGGGCCACTGGTACCAGTTAAAATAAAAAGGATGTATTGGCCAGATGTTAATAACTAGTATCGATACATTGCCATTTTAGAATAATTTTTCATAAAAAAATTTATTTTCATAATTTACTGTTGGAATAATCCAGAGTTTGGAATCTAGACTATAAGGGTTTTGGTTTTGAATATTTTTTTTAAAAAGTGGTTCTGATTCTGGTTCCTAAAATTTTGAAAAGTGAGTTATAGTTCTTAAATTTGATATGGTTATCAGGGTTCCAAATTTTGCTAAAGCCTGGACCCAAAGTAAACTGAACCAAACCATTATACCAGAATAAACCTTTATAATTTTCTGAACCATAATCAAACCTTTATATCAAATTGCTAAAAGAAGTAAACCAAAAATATAAAAATTTTTTTTAACTGGTTTAAAACCATTTTGCTATAAATATATAATTTTTAAGGCCAAATATTTGATAATACTTTCCTGTCACAGTTTTATTAATTCTTATAACAGTAATTTTTAAATTTCTATAGATTTTTTTTATATTTAAAAACAATTTGATTTATTGTTGCTTGATTATATTTTAAATTTAGACAATCATTCAAGTAAAACTTTTATAAAATAATTACTAAATATTAAGGTCCATATTTTTTTAAAAGTAATTGTTGTAATCATAATTAAATGAGAGGGATATGGTGATTGATGTTAGAGAGTGTTATGTATTTTGATAATTTAATAACGTTTTTGTTTATTATTGTTTTAAAAGAGCATGTGTAGAAAAGAAAAAAAAGAACGAAAGTTTTTAATATAATTTTAAATTGAATAAATCAATCTTTTGTTTTAAAGAATTATCATATTGGAATTCTGCCAAATCAGATATTTCACGTTTTAATCAAAGAAATTATCATAGTAATTGACTTAAATATACAATAAAATTTAATTAAATATAGCGGACTTTTTGAATAGAGATCTAGTTTTATGAAAAATCTTAAATATTTAGTATACTTATAATGTGCTTTGTATATTTTCTCACTGTAATCTTTTTAATTTCTTATTCCTGAACCACCTAAAATTTTAAACAGTAGCGACAATAAGGGGGGAGAAAGCAGTGGTTCAAGCTCCTTGAATTTTTTTTAAAAAAATCTAAAAAAAGAAGGTCTTTTGAAAATATTTCAGGTTTTTAAAAAAAATTTGAGCCTCTGACTGTAAAGGTTAGTGATGCCACTGATTCCAAATAGATAATGGTTCAAGTCCTTGGTAATAGCTATTACCTTTTTTAAAATAAATTTAAGGAATAAATACCCTTTAAAATGAATCACAATATTTTAAAAAATATATATATTATTTGAACCATTCAATATTTTTTTCTGGTCCTAAACTCTGAAATATTCATTATTTTTTGATAAAGGGTAAAATTTTTATTTTTGTAGTAGTTTTAGAAATTTACTGCAATCTAACTTTGTTCAAATCCATGCAATATAGTGTTAACAATTTTGATCATTTATCTATAATTAGGGATGAATCGATAATCCGATCTGATAAAAAATGGCTTTTTGAACAAAAATAAAATATAAAATTTTTTAAAAAAATTATGTCTAAAAACCTATTTATTTTTATAAATAAAATCGAAATCCATTTTTGTTTAATTTTTTAATAGTAATAATTAATTAATAAACATTAAGCCATATTGTTATTTTTTTGGGCATTCTGTTTATAAAATTGTTCGATAATCTTTTCAGAATCAGTTTTTAGTTAAGATAGTGATATTGACAGTCCCCATCGCTGCTGATTGACCTTTGATAAGTTGGAAATTTTGATATTTCTAAAAAGAAATCTTCATTATATTAATTATTTATTTCAAATTTCATAATATATTTGTTTATTACTATATTATGTAAATAGATAAATGTTATTACTTATTATATAATAAGTGATTTATCAATAAAAATATTTTATATACTTTTAAAATTTCAATTGAATTGAATATAAACTATAACTGATCATTATAAATGTTGTAGTAAGAAGAGTTATATGTTTCTTTTTATTATTATTTATACGCGGTTAAGGTAGCATTTTTTTTATTTTAACATTGATGTTGTTTATGTATTTTTGTAGCGATATTATTTTTTTTTATATAATATATTGATTTTTTTGAATTATGAATCATTAAATTTTTTGTATGAAAATTTAAAAAAAGTTAAGTTATAAAAATAAAATAAAAGATAAGTTACAAAAGTTGGTGCCTACAGTCCTGTTGCTAATGAACCTGAGACGCAATACAAAAATAAAGAGAAGAAAACCGTATTAAAAATAAAAGGTAAAATAAAAATTATTATAAAAATATTTAATTATGTTTCATATGTATTATAATAATAAGTATAATATATTTTCTAACGTTTAGTAGTGTTAAAATATTTATAATAAAAGTTTTAATAAATTATTTTTGAATAAAAAATAAATATTTAATTATAAAAGAAATATTAAAACGAAGAGCTATGTGGAAATGGTTTCACAGAGAAATAATTGTATTATAGCTGTAGTAGTGCTATATTTATGGATAATGGGTATAGTGTTACATCGTATAGAAAGAGATAGAATAAAAATCACGGAAGAAATTTAAATTAAAAATAATGAAATTAAAAAAGAAAAAAATGAAAGGGAATTAAAAAACGTTAATGAAAATGAAAGAATGACGGAAGAAATGTTAAATTTAAAAGATGAAAGGATAATTTGAAAATATGATAGAAGGAATGAAAAAAATGTTAATATTATTAGGGCGGGAGATTAACGAAAAGGTATTAATAATAAAAGAGAAATAGATATTAAAGATGAACAATGAATGAGAGGTGATAAACGAAATACTGATAGTCATTATGGGAGAAGGTATGAAAAAGATTTCAGAAGAGAGGATCGAATGAATGATAGGGAATACGATCATTTTAAAGAGTATAATACTCCAATGAGCTTGCAGAGAAATTAAAGGGAAAATTGGGAAAGAGAGAATTTTTTTCGGGACAGATTTAATTGACAAAAGATGAATATGCAAAATGTGAGATGTTATGCATGTGGGGAATTGGGGCATATAAGTAGAA